CCTTTAGCAACAAGTTGGGCCTTCAAACGCTCCACACTGCCATCCAGCAAGTATTTAACAATATACACCCATTTACAACCCACAACATGTTTACCTAGAGGAAGAGTAGCGAGCTCCCACGTGTGACTATGCTGAAGAGCAGAGAGTTCCTCCTCCATTGCTTAATGCCACCTAGGTGAAGTAAGAGCCTCTTGGACATCCTTAGGTATAGAGATAGATGACAATAGAGAAACAAACTGGCGATGTGAAGCGGAAAAGTGAGAGACTGAAACAAAATTAGATGGGATGTAGGGTACAACTACATTTACCTTTCCGTAAAGCAATGGGAAGATCAAGCTCTGAAGGTTCTGGGACAGGAGCAACAATAGGATTCGCAGACAAGGTAGAAGCCGGAGGAGGTGCCGGTGTCTATCGATGAGTATACACGTGTTGAGTCGGTGTTTGTTCAGTAGGAATCTGCACTGGAGGAGGTGAAGGTTCAGCCCCAACTGGAACAACCGGAACGGGATCACAGACTGGAAGGGGGAGAGGAAGCAAAGGTGGAGATAATGATACTTTAGGTCCCGAGAAGAACGAGACAGACTCAAAAAAAGTGACATCAGGACAAACATAGAACTTCCAAGTAATGGGTTGTAACACTTATACCCTTTCTGGGTTCGAGAGTAGCCAAGAAAGATACACTTAATAGAGCGTGCATCCAGTTTGTCTAACCCAGGACTCAGATTGTGAACAAAGCACACACAACCAAAGACCTGAGGTGTTAATGGAAATGGAGACAAGGTGGGGAACAAAATAGAAAAAGGAGACCGACCATGAAGGACGAAGGAGGGCATCCAATTAATAAGGAAACAAGCAGTAAGCACAATATCACTTCAAAATCATTTAGGAACACTCATATGATGAAGAATAGACCGAATAGTTTCAAGGAGATGATAGTTCTTTCGTTCAGCCACCCCATTTTGCTGAGGGGTGGATGCACATGAAGTTTGAAGAATGATGCCATGCTGCTCTAAATATTGTTGAAAGGAAGTGAGAAAGTATTCACGACCATTATCTGAACGAAGAACTTTGATTGGAACACCAAATTGCATATGCATTTCAGCATGGAATTTTTGAAAAATGGAAAATAATTCACTCATTTCTTTCATTAAATAAATCCATGTCATCCTTGAACAATCTGTTGAAGATTAATTAGTTTTATAATGTTTTTTTGAGTAGATGTTTTATGTTAGTTGTTAGATAGGGGGTGGGGACCGCAGTAGTTATGTGAGTCCAAATTTTATTATGTTTTTGTGTGTTACATATGCTGTTTTATGTTTTGCCGCCCTATAAGGGCATAGTTGTCTTTGTACTGTTTTATTATTTTAGTATAAATAATAAGTGAAGGGGGCGGCCAAATTTTTGCTCTCTTTTCTTTCAAACTTCTCTTCTTCTCCTTCTCTCTTCCTTCTCTCTTCAAGAAACTACTTTCTTTCATATTTTTTAATTCAGCAGATTCCTACTTGGTGTCAGAGCATTGGCTAGGGTTTCTTGAAGCATTCTCATGCAGCCCTAGATCAGCCGACTACATGAAGTAGTAAAGGGTTGATCGATCTGCTATACATTGCCCAGTTCTTGGAGTTTTTGGTGGGATCTAGACATCAGGAAGGTGATCTACTGTTCGGCATCAAAATCAGGAAGAACTGGAGTACGGGGAAGAGTCCTAGAAAAGTTGGACTCTTTGTTTTTGATCTAATCTTGGGCGCCCAAGTATTGTTAGTTTTCTTTTGATTTTCTGAAGAGGGCGGTTTGGTTTATGGAATTTTCTAGGCCTCCCAGAGTGATCGATTCACTTTTCTCTCTGTTGGGAGGCGTGAGGAGGAGAGAGATTTCCCTCCAGCTAGGGTTTTCTTCTTCCGGAAGGGTTGGTTTCTATGTGTGATATTAAATTATTTTTTGAAGGTCTCCAATCTATTTTTTTTTCTTACTGTTGAACTGCTTGAAGTAAAATGGAGAGTTGGAATACCGAGATGAAATCTACCAGTACTGTGGGACTGGGTGTTGGAGGTAGTAGTGATATTTTTGGGTCTGGGATCATTACTACAGTAAAACTTGATGGTACAAATTATTTGGAGTGGGCACAATCAGCTATGGGCTGTGTAATTCTATGTTACCTCATATTGCAAAAAATATCCTATGGGCTAATACTGCTAAGGAGATTTGGGATGGCGTGACTGAAATCAGGTGATAAGTATGAAACAGGGAGAAAAACCTCTTGCTGTGTATTTCTCTATACTGAAAACCCTATGGCAGGAAATAGATCACTTAGAAACTGTGGTATGGGAAAGTGTAAATGATGCAGCAACTTATCACAGACTGGTAGAGAGGAATAGGGTTTTTGAGTTCTTGGCAGGGTTGAACCCTGAATTTGACATTGCTAGGCAGCATATTCTTTTTAGGGAGGGTGTGACACTCTCTCAGGCCTATGCTTTTGTCTCTAGAGAGGAGAGTAGGAGGAATGTACTGTTGAGACAACCTGAGATTGACTAGTCGGCTATGGTTGGTACAAGAAAATCTAAGCCGAATGGAGACAGGGGGAGTAGTGAGACTAGAAGGGAAGATAAGGACTTGGTGTGTGATTATTGCAAGAAGCGTAAGCATACCAGGGACACTTGTTGGAAGCTTCATCCAAATTTTATGCCTGATCGGATAAGAAACAAGAAGGGAAATGCAAATGTAGCCACTATAGGACTCTTCAGCCCCTCTCTCCCAAACTGATTGGGAATCCATTGCAATAGCAACAGTGAGAACAGAATTGGAGAGGTTTGGACAACTTATGAGTAAGAAAGATTCACCCAGCTCTAGCCTTCCAGATGGACAACAAAATGCAGGAGCCAACTACACCACTTCCTTTGCACATACAGGTAGTTCATATGCAATTGCAAATCTTGCATCCACTTCAGGTAAGTAGGGACCTCCATGGAGACTCAGGAGCTTCTAAGCATATGATTAATGCCCCTACCTTTTTCAGTTCCTATCGGTTGTGCTCTGGTAGAGACAAGGTCTCCACAGCAGATGGTTCACATATGCCCATTGCTGGGAAGGGGACAGTTAGAGTGACCAATGATATAACTTTGTCTTTTGTTTTACATGTCCCTAGACTTCATACCAACCTACTGTCTATTAGTTCTTTAACAAAAAAATTGAATTATTCTGTGACCTTTCTTCCTGATAATTGTGTTTTGTAGGATCTGGAGTCAAAGAAGATGATTGGGAGTGGTCGTGAGGTGAATGGAGTCTACCTTCTGGATGAGATTCCGAGACATCAGGGCCATCATGTTAGCAATAGTGGGTCAAAGTCAGTGAACCAGATTATGGTTAGGCACAAGCGCTTGGAACATCTTTCTTTTAGTTATTTGAAATGTCTTTTCCCAAAGTTGTTTGAGTCTGTTCAATTATCTACTTTGGAGTGTGAGAGTTGTCAGTTAAAAAGCACTGTAAACAGTCTTTTAAACCAAGTAATGAAAGAAGTACTTCTGCTTTTAATATTGTTCATACTGATGTATGGAGGCCATATCAAATCCCTTCCATGGGAGGATTCCATTACTTTCTCTTGTTTGTGGATGATTATACATGATATTCTTGGATATATTTGATGAGATCACGTGATGAGGTTCCTAACTTAGTATGACAATTCCACCAGATGGTTCTCACACAATTTGGAATGAGAACTAAGGCTTTTAGATCAGATAATACCAGAGAGTACTTTGAGAAAGACCTGACGACGTATCTCTTAGAACATGGTGTAGTTCATCAGAGCAGTTGTGCATATACATTGCAACATAATGGAGTTGTTGAGAGGAAAAACAGACACATTGTGGAGGTGCAAGGAGTCTTATGGTGTGTGTTTCAGTTCCTGTGTAATTCTGGGGAGATGCAATTCTTACAGCTGTGCATTTGATTAACTGTGTTCCTTCAAGGAGTCTTTTGGTTGTGTTTCTTTTGTTCACATTCTTGGCCCTCATCGTAAGAAATTGGATCCTAAGGCCAAGAAATGTGTTTTTCTTGGGTATGCTCAGAACCAAAAGGGGTATTGCTGTTATGACCCAGTGTCGAGGAGCAGATTTGTCACTATGGATGTTACCCTTTTTTGAATCCACATTCTTCTTCTCGAGTGGTTCTCCTCAGGGGGAGAGTTTTGGGGAGAAGAACTCACAATCTGTTCCCCTTCCTGTTTCTGTGGTGGCTCCATCAGTTCAGCCAGCATCTACATCAGTTCAGCCACCACCTATACCATAGTTCAATCAGCACCTGCACCTCCAGTTTCATTACCTGAGCCACTACAGGCAGCCTCACAGCAATATCAGCGCCGACAGATGATGGTTGACTCCACACATCCTCAACCCACACCACTCTCTGTTAGTCCTTCTGAAACTCTAGATTCGGCAGATACAGCTCCAGGTATCTCTTGAGCCTGAGCCTATTATGTTTTCTGATGATAATGTTTCTGTCCCTAACACCATTGTTGTAGCTGATCCCACTGACCTTGATCTTCCCATTGCAATTCGTAAGGGGAAGAGAAAGTGTACAATCCACTGCATTTCACACCATCTTTCCTACAGTGCCTTATCACCCTCTTACCATGCTTTTCTTTCTTCCCTGGATTCTGTGCCTATACCTAGGAATGTTACTAAGGCTCTGTTTACATTGCCTTATCACCCTCTTACTGTGCTTTTCTTCTGAAGAGCCTATACATATCACATGACAAAGCTTTCCAGCTCAATCTGTTTAAGCTCATTATGTAGAAGAATCAAGAAAACTTAAATAAAAAATGAAGATGTGTCAAAATGTCTTATCAGGAAAAAAAAGATGTGCCAACATGGAGTCACTTGCCTACTAGCATGCCCCCATCATTTGGTAATACTGTGCAACACAATTGCAAAGGCTAAGCGTATAGAATTTGCAACTATTAGGCAAGAAAGATAAAATAAAGGCTTTCATGAACTACATGTCTTTCTTACCCATAGGGTCTTTGATGATATCATAATAATCAGGCACATCACGTCCATCAACAGGCTCCTTGAATGGCCAAGAATCAGGATGATCATGCATTATCTGTTTACATTGAAAGCCAAAGCATTTAAAAGAGACCTGTAGAATTAGAAAAAAGTGTGTTTACAAGGACATGACTATCTCTACTTGCTTCTGGTGTGCAACAGGATACATGTTACAGTTTACATTGTGTGACCCACTAATAGTAATTCTTCTTCTATCATCTGGTAACTATGAAATAAGGAACTGGACCAAAAAAATGGCATAAGATAATAAAGGAGAAATGCATGTCACTGATTGTCTACCTGTGCATGTTTATGTGTATTCATATAGATGCAAATGTACATGCAAATAATAATTGAAGCTTGATTCAATTACCCGGGGAGTATAAGAAAATTCCTTGTATAAATTGAACTAAAAAGGGGAATTAGAGTGGGGAATAGCTGGCGACTAGAGGAAGAGGGAGAGGAAGGAGGGGCAGCCATTCAACCTTGTAATTTTTTGTCAGAGGTGCAGCTTTGAAATGGGGATTTAGGGAGCATTTGCCAGAGAGTCTAGTCCTTGGTGGTGCTTGGCTAGGATGATGTCAGCCTCAATTTGTTTTGGCTTGGGATATTGTGCAGCATGTCAGGATTTGTGTTTTCCTTGGCTCATAGGAATAAGATTCTAAGTGGTTTGCTCTTTCTTTTTGAGGTTATTCTGTGTTTTGCACTGATGGGGAATTTCAGTGTATATCTTGAACGGTGATCACTTTTGCATTCAGGTTTTTCTTTTTGTTGCTCTTTCTTGTAATAGAGCTTGTATACACTTTTATTTTAATGAAATTAAGTAGTTAACCTACCCAGATAAAAAATTTGCTCAGTTTGAGTATTACTGGTTCCATTTTGTATAGCAGGTTAACATAATTGTTGCCCCCAAGGAATGATAAATTTAAAACAGCTTTCAAGTGTAACTTTTAAATGCCAACTGCATATTGTTATCTTTGCAGTGGATCATGAAACTTGCCTTTAATAGCGAGCGCATGAAGGAATTCAGTGATTCGCGATAGTTGGAACTATCTGTCGAAGGAAGTACTGTTCTAAACCTTGAATGACCCCACTGATCTGGAGTCCATCCAGCTTCCCCTATTGAAAAAAATGACTACAGGTTATTATGCAAAATTACACCAAAAACACGCAAAAAATTTCTTAACTCCTAGACTAAAAATGTAACAAAAACACCAATAGTGATCCATCAACTTGCTCCATGTCCATAGATGTGTATAAAATGAAAGAAAAAGACATGGAGCAAGTTGATGGACGTGTTAAATTTTATAAGTACATAAATAGAAGCTTAACAACACATATGTGTAAAGTTAAAAGTTCTTCTAGTATAGAGCTGTCATATTGGAATCTTGTTGCATAGCAGTTAAAAATCTCTCTATTTTGCAAATCCAACAAGCTACTTACTCAAACCAGGGATATCCTCAACTTTGATTATTTTTCTGGGAATACCAGCTTCTTTCTGAAGGAAAAAAAAAAAAAAAAGATATTAATGAGTACCAGTTTTTTAATACAAGCCATAAGCATCCATCCCATAAAAACAACGATACAGATCAAAAGGAAAAGAAAAAAAAAAAAAAAAAACTTCAAACATCTCTGGCAGTTTTCATTTAATCATTTATTAAAGACCAATCTTAACAGATAAAACAATTGGTCTGAATAAGAACTGCCAGAAAGGAGAAAGAAACTAGCCCATACCATTGTTGCAAAGGAACTAGATAAGAATAAATGATTTGCATTCTCACCAATCTTAAAGCAAGGGAAGCACACATAAAGGGATGAATACTAATTCAATCTTCCCTCTCTAAAGCATCTGTCCAGTGTTATGATATTCTTTAACGCTTTCCAACAAAAAGCTTTTACCTTAGGAGCACCATCCCACCCAGCTTTTAGGAAGATCTTCTGGTAGAATACCAAAGACCATTTGATCTTTAAAGACAAGCTCTCAAAACCTCAACAGGTCTTTTATTCCATTGAGCTTTTGAAAGATAATTAAAAAAAAAAAAAAAAACCTTGCCAAGCAGCACTTTAGAAGCTACATAGAACTTTACAAAGGTGACAAATACATAGGAATATACAAAAAAGTGACTAAAAAAGCAAACTTATAAAAGGGACATGCCTAAGTCACCTTGCAGCTCAGCCCAAGTGCATGCCTAAGTACACCTGGCGCATGTCTTTTGAAAGTGTTCTCCCTTGGGTTCAAGCAAAGTGTATGCCTTAAAATGCACCTTGCCTTTGTGCCTAAGCATGCTTTTTAGAACAGAGTAACAGACCCAGCATTCTCTTTATTCTAGTATATATGGACCCTAGCTCATTTTTGTTCCAGATCCTGATTTTCTCCTTGAGATATGTAAACTTACATCTAAAGACTTCAAAAGGAAGTTCCTGTAAAAGAGACACATATCCATCACTCTTCAATTCACCCTATGAACTAGGGAACTTCCATCGAAATGTTCTTGAATTAAAAGGCATGATGGGTCCTTGCACTTTGTCCATGTAAAATGTGCTCCTGCTAGGGGAAGGTCCACAAGAGACGTGCTATCCATGAAGGATCCAAATTCCATTATGTCATTACTCAGTACTCACTCTAAAACAACTTTTCTTATTACGTACAAATTGGATGATGTTTAAGTCCCCTCTACACACTACAGGGCATTCTAGAGTTGTTGTAATCAGTAGTCCTTCCAGTTCTCGCCATGTGTAAAATGGAGGTACTATCATTGGTCCAGTGAACATCCATCCAAAGTTATTGGCTAGGTTTTTGCAGCAGATAGAAACTAAGAAACTTCCATGATAGAATCATATATTTCCATTGCTAAATTGTTCCAAGTCATCAAGATCCCACCTGAGGCCCCAATTGAAGGTTGTGCAACCCAACCATGTGCAGTTGTCCCAAATCTCCATGACAAGTTGCCCATGTCATACCTCTCTTTTAGAATCTTATAAGACTATAATATCTGAATTTAGGGGTGATCATTTTCAGCCCGGCCCGCACACACACACACGTATGTTATTTCATGTTAGATTTTATATTTTATATGTAAGTATTATAACGACAGCTATAGTACATATTTTATAATGCATGAAATTAATTTTATATACATATCATATGACATATAATATAAAATGTTATATATGTTTAATATTTTGTACATAAATTCATAGGCCCAGAATCAGGCCCAGCCCGGAATCTGGGGCTAGCCTATAGCCCTTACCACAGGGGCTAACCTGGCCCAGTCCATGATCACCCATATCTGGATTCCATCTACATGAGAAAGACATGATTACTTCCCTTTTTTCTGGAGTTCAAACACCCCCATATTCCAAGATGTGATTTTTAGATTCACACCTGAACTATAGATTGCCCTCTTTGCCAACCTCCCTCGCTCTTATTCTCTCCTCCTCGTCCACTTAATCCTTGTTCTATTGGAAAGTTAAAAAGAAATTTTTATTAAAAGAAAAAAGAGAAGATCGAGTACAAGAAACAACAAGGTGTTAAGATAACACCTGCCCACCAACAGCAAAAACACATACATCAAGTAAAACCAAGGGAAACCAAAGACAGACACCCCCAAACAAGAGGAAACTTAAAAGTCTTCTCGAGCATTTCATCTTGTCCATCTCCTTCCTCGTTCCATGCTTCTCCTCCTTCCCCAACTATGATCTTCTTCAAGCTCTCTTCCCCCTTGCTTTTTACAAAGGCTTTGAAAGACTTTCTAGTGAACTCCTATCCAGTCCAATAAAACAAACCTAAGCTCTTACCCAGCCTGACATCCCTATCAACCAAACATTCAATCTCCACTCCCCCCCACCCACCCACACTGACTGATGAAGTCGCAATTAAGCCCTCCTCACTGTCTTGAACATCCCCTTCCTCCATGTCCTCAACCTTTGACCTTGACTCCAAACTTTCCTTAGAAGCCAACATCCGTTGCAGCTCATCCCATTCAGAATCTTGACGCTTGGCTCCCCGGGTCTTAGCAAATTTTATCTTTAAAACCTTGTCTTTTGAGCCTTTTTTCTTATAAACTTTCTTGAATTTATTAGTGGGACCAGCACTAACCAAACCATCTTTCAAACATGAAAAAACGTTTAACACGTGAACAAGCAGGAACTTGCTTGGCTCTCTAATTTTCTTCAACACCTCTGAATCAAGAGCATCCCTTTTCTTGATTCCGGAATTCCTTCTTCTACCTAAATCAACTCCAAGACTTCCAACTGGGACTTCAAAACATAAACACTCTTCTCGAACTTCTCACCCACCATTCTCCTCTCTAATACTTGCTTCCTCAAACTGGTTGCTTGTTTCCAACCTCTTGTCTTCCCCTCCTTCAATCTCCTCCCCTTCTTTCCACCCCTTTTGAAAACTTTCTTCCCCTCCTCTCCTTTCTCTAAACCAACCTCCTTTCCTCCCTTGTCTCCCTCGGTCCTAGTAGATTTTCAGTCAAACAGAGCCAACCACCCAACTAGAGGTGGATCAGCATGAATATCCACCGAACTCCAATCTTCCATCACTTTTCTCCCCTAGAACGGAAAAAACTTCACTGCACATGAAACAACGAAACTCCTTCTCCACAACTCAACTCTCCTGGTCCTTCAGGCTCACCATTTTCCTTCTAGAACTGTCATAGCTAACGATAACCCAAACTCAACCCTCCACCTTGCTGGCTCTAAGCCTGTAGCAATCCCTCTCTCTTTCTCCTCTTGAATTGCAAGAAATTGACACCAATTCTTTACCTACCTTTATGTTGTTGCGGCTAAGTCCACTACAACCACTCTTCAACTTCAATCTCAGGGATTGGTCCCCATTCTCAGCACCCGAAGTCTTGTTCGAATGTAGTGACCCTTTGAATGTCCTCTCGAGAGTTTCGTTTAAACTCCCATCCTCCAAAATGCATCTTTTCATACTTTCCTTACCAACTCCAGCCACATGCCCCTCAAATAAAGCCCCAATCCCACCCAAAATTACCACTTTACCCCTTGTAACATCCCTCCATTGTCTTCCTCATTCAATCGACCCTTTGACTTCCCCTCTTCAACAGAGGATTCATCCTGTAGTTCCAACCTTGCCCAAGGCTTCTCAATCTTCCTTCTCTCCCTTCATCAAATGCTCTAAAAAAAGTATTATCCTCTCCCACAACAAAAATTCTTAAGTCATATTGCTCTCCTACAAAAGCTAGAACTAAATTTCTTGGAATGGCAAAGACTTCATCGACCTCCACCAGGATTCTCACAATGTCGATCTTCTGCCATCTGCTACTCCTTTCATCAGCATTCAAGAATTTACCACATGCCTCCCAATCACTTAAACGCATATCACAACCCCTGTTTAGTTTGGCTTCGGACTCCAAAATCCACTCAGCCTCCTTTCTGCTATGAAACATAAACAAGAATAGTCCCATGTTCAGCCTTCTGACACCCAAAACTCTTTCCTTACCCCATCAAAAGCAGCCTAGGCAGCCACTTCTCCAAATCCATTCCCATGGACCTTCCAATCAAGCTTGCATTTAAAGTATTCAACCTCTTGTATCCTTCCATCAGAGACAATCTGAACCTCCCTGCGATTCACTTCTGACTCACGATCAAAACACTGTTCCATCTTTCTCCCCAATGGTGGTATTGCCTCTAGAAATTACTCTATAGATGACATAATCTGAGGCTGAGCTTAGTCTTATGTGGAAATTTGAAAATTCTTTCCACCACTACACAGATAGCTGACCAGTGTTGGTCTCCTCAGTGCATCTCCTACCACCACTACACAGATCAAGACACTTCAACCTCTTCATTTATTAGTAAGTTTAGGTTTTGTAGCTGTTAATCTAAAACTTATCCTGTTATCCAAACTATATGGGGTCAGTTACATAAGAGTTTAGATTCTATAGATGATGACGTTGAGGTTTTGTAGCTGATTCTTGATCATTGCCTCTCTGTCCTACATTCCTCTGTTCAAAGGCCATACTTTTACAGCTTACAAATCAAAGAAAATTTCAACATTCTAAAGAAAATCTCCCCCCTGCCCCCAATACCTCTCCCATGCACACACAAATAACCATCCACCCACCCACACATGCAAATAGGTTCTAGGGCTGCTTCAAAACCTTGGATCTTTTCAAATTTAACACTCCAACAATTAGATCCAATTCCATGCACTAGACCCCACACCGGTGCACTAAGGGTCCAGTGATAACCACTATATAAAATTGACAATGTGATGATGTAATACCTTTTGGAAGTCAACTCCTGGGTAGACAATGTGACAGTTGGAGAGTTCTCTTATCTTTTCATCAATTGCCTGCAAGCAAAACTCAGTTGGAAGTAACAACGCATATTTCATCAGAAAATTGACACCAATAAAACCGGGAAGTTCTACTTGAATTCAAGACATCAAGAAATCAAAACCATGCAAAAAACAAAAGGTAGCCGGTCCTGTAAGGTAACTACCAAACAATAAGTTGATCTCATTGTATTTAAGATAGAGTTAAGAGAATTGCCCATAAGCGCATTTTCCAGATGTTACATTAAGAGTTTTCCACCATGCTAACACCCTCATGCTACTTCAATACAGAAATGCATTCTCCCTTTTTCAACTACATGAAAGTAAAAAGATAATGACACTGATGGAGCAAAGATTATCTTTTTACCTGCCTCTGCCGTCGAATCATGGTTGATAAATCAGTGTATGGAAGCTTAGGATCAATTTTGCATTCCATAAGGATTCCTCCATCGTAGTCTTTAATATACCTAAAAGGTGTGAAGTACATTTCATTTATTGCTTCACTTTCTAAGAAAAACTGAAGCACACATTCAGAAAAAAAAAAATCCTTATGGCTAAAACTTCAGGTAAAGGATATGATCAATTAATATAAAGAAGATTGTAGTAACACTGAGCCTCAAGCCCTCAACTAGGTTGAACTAAAACTTTTACAATTTTGAATAATATAGATGAAGGGGAGGCTATAATTCCAAGTACAGTGGGAAAAAATGCTCAAGAGAGAACCTTCATTAGCTAAGAGAAAAGTTTCAAGCTCATACGAGGAAAAAACCAGAAGGCCTGCATTAAATTTCCTTTTTTTCAGGACTCATATATTAAAGGACCAGAGGAAGAAGACCAATAGCCTCTTGGAAAGCACAATGAAAGAAATGAACTAAATAGTATAATAGAATACAATATTAAACAGTCTAATGTTATCAATTTGATTCATCATAATTAATTGTGTCAATAAATGCCCAATGCTTTAGTTAATTAGAAAGACTTTTCTCTTAGCGCATGGCTAGATTCAGCATGATTTGAGTGAAGATAAGCTATACCATAATAATTGGAGGGTATTTGTGCACCATCTCCAATTTGCATCTTTTTCAAAGTGGAGAGGATAAAAAGGTTAGCAGACTAGTCCACCATAAATGAAATACACCTATTGATCCAAGTCAGAAGGGCTGATCCCTAAATAAAAACAACTCTCTATTCCTCTGGCTGATGAATCCACAAACAGCTTGCTGATCTTTAGGCTCCTAACAAGGGTCAAGGGGCACTCGTCACCATCATGAATCCAACTAACCACCACTTGGAAGTTCTCCCTAACCTCTATCCTTGTATAACCTAGAGAGAATATCAACTACAGTTCCTGGAGTAATGACAGGAACTTGCTAGAATAGAGTCCTTTGTACTAATGGCAATTGGTCAGAGTAAACCAGTAAAGATCCCCGTTTTTGCTTCAAAAAGTACCTCCTGTAGAGAGAATAAGGGTTAATCTTGTCTTTTTCTATCCTTGGGGAGTATTGTTGTACCATATGTCTTATGTACTTTATCCTTTTCGTAAATATTCTTCTACTCTTTATTTTTAAGGACAAAACTGACCTTTTACATTCATATTCTTGTACTCTTTAGACACACACGTACAAACCCTAGTACCTGTCTGGCCTCTTCATTGTCACCTCCAACTCCTAAAGGTCCTAAGTTCCCAACCGAACAACCTTCAAAATTCAGTTGACAGTTCCTTGACAACATGATCAATGTTCTGAAATCAAACCTCTAGTGGGTGGTTAATGATGGGGCCCAATGTTTTTAAAATCATGCAATTCACGATTCGAATTGGACAATTCAAATCAGATCGTGACCAAAACAATTCAAATCGTAGTTAAGAATTGGATTTTTAATTAATTGTGTGAGTTATAACTTCGTTAGTTTGAATCGTAAATTGCAATTCATACATGATTCAACCAAGTTATGTCGAAAGTATATTTTAAGAGGAAAAGACTATTTAGTCCTTCCTCTTTTAATATCTCACTTGTTTTAAAGGGGTAACATTGCCATTTGATCATAAAACTTAAATATCCCCTTTCATCACTCGAGAGAAGCTTTCTAAAGATGGAAAAGGCTTAAGTGGGAGGCCAAGACCCTCCTCCATCGTGTATGTGAAGCTCCAAATCTCTGGCTTTGCACCAAAAGGTATGTATTTCTTTTAGTTTTTGATTTCTACTTTTTTTTGTTGCAAATGATTCCTACTGCTCTTTTTTTTTGTTTCTTCTATTATTCGGTTTTTCTTTTGGACGCCAAAAACAGGGGCTCCATCCCATTTTTTTCTCTTCTTCTTCTTCTTTGCATAAAAGCAAGGACTCTACCCCATTTCTTCTAACCTGTTTTTTTGCATGGAAACAGGGGCTCCACCCTATTTTGTTTTCTCATTTTTTGGGTTCACCAGTTCAAAAACAGGGGCTTTGCCCCATTCATTTTCTCTTGTTTGTATTTTATTTTCTTTGAAATGATGTTATCAAGCAACTCATGTTTTTTTAGAATTTATAATTTAATTTTTAAGAATTTAGAATTAAAATATGTCCATATTCCATAAACTGGTAAACATGATATCTTTATTTGTAGTGTGTCACAACTCTCAAATCTCAATCTCACTACTGTATATTTGTATTGCATTCATGCATTGATAATTGGCATGTATAGCTTTTTTTAATATGTATAGTTTTTGAGAGGTTTATGTATCTTTTTAGTTTTTTTTATAGTTTTTAGAAAATTCAGAAAAAAATCTTACGATTTACAATACAATTTGACTCAAACCTCTTTACAATTTACAATACGATTACAACTTTCAGAACATTGATGGGGCCACATAATACTATCTCTTGCAGTATCATCATTATGCTGAAAGCTTAAAATTCCTCTCTTACAAACCCAAGATTTGGCTTCCTCCTCATCTCAAACTAACCAAAGAATAGTTACTCTCAAAATCTAATAACTTTTGCTCTGTTAGTTGGGAAGAGGAGAAGTTTTTTTTTTTTTTTCTTGGAAAACTAAGGATGGGAGGGGACTGGGTTACGAGTGGACAAGAGTCGATCTTTTCACGAGCTATTCGAGTTCAAGCTCAATCAAAATTGAGCTTCAAGTTGAACTCAAGCCCAATATATAAGCTTATTCGCTAATCAAGCAGAGCTCAAACCAAATGAAGCTCAGCTCATGAGCCTAATCGAGATTATATTATATATAATATTTTAATTTTTATATGTACAATATGAAATAATTTTTATATGTATAATTTTTAATTTTTTATATGAAATTCCGCTCACTATCAAGCTTGAGCCAAGTTGAGCTCAAGCATATGAGCTTTTCATTTGAGCCAAATACAAGCTTGCTTTCTAGCTCGAATCAAGCTCAAGCTTGAACTCTAGCCTTATGTTTTTTGTCAAGCCGAGCTCAAATAATCTAATATTCAGCTCAGCTCGAATCCACTCCACCCCTAGGGGATACAGTGCTAGGTAAGTGTGAACCACATCCACCAACATTACCAGGTGAACCAGCTAGGACCTTCAAGCATATGGGCTTAAACAAGCCACTGATCTCAGTTGACAGCATCTTGTTGATACTAACCACACATCCAAAAAAAAAAAAAAGTTTGTGCAAAAACTAAAGGCAAAATGACAAGAAATTAGAAAGTGATGAATGGTCTTGTTGCTCCCCTAGTAAGAAAACACGTAGGGAACAAGACCCCCCAGCCCCCAATTGGAACATAACAAGTTTTAGTTTTCAAGTAAGCATCTCCAAGAGAAGTCCCTTATCTTGAAAAAATAGGTTCCAGATCTGAAAAAGGGTTAGAAAGAAAAGGTTGATAGGGTTTTCAGTAAGGGTGCAAGTCACATACCCAACTTGAAGAATTTACAGAATATCGGGCCTAGAATACAGGCCCATTCAAATTTTAGCCAATGCTCAACCCAAGCTTGCACAAGTTTCAGCCCTAATTTTCAGATTTAAGACAGAAAAATCTGCTTTAATTTGATTATTTAATTGCAAAGTTTTAAACAATGGTTAAAATAATTAATGACTAGAATAGTTTAAACATAAGAAGAGAATAAATAGCACAAGAATATAAAGTTGACTTTTGATTTAAAACTAATGGAAGCAAGTAGGTTTGTGCAAGTCTCTCAATGGAGGAAGTCTATGAAGATTGAAGCAAAAAGTTTCGTGTTCTATAGCTGCAGAACTATCGGGAAGATTACGCTCATGATCAGGGAGTTAAACATGTCGATGGTTATGCTCATAGGAGAAGAGATAGTAGAGTGGTTCCAAAACTTTGTAAGTTTACATGGTCCAACTTCCAAGAAAACCCTTTGTGCTCAAAGTTAGATAGATTACTATTCGATGTAGGTTGGGAAAACCATTAGGGAGATTCAGTTGCTAGAGCATTGCCTAGAGTTACTTCAGATTAGGCACTAAGTCCTTTTTGAGTAGCCCTACACTGTTCTAATTTGAAAACATGTGGTTATCCCATCCGAACGTTGTACAAAAAGTGGGGGAATGGTGCAGAGAAGAATTGGGAGGAGTGAAGTGGAAGGGGATAAAATTTCATAAGAAGTTGTAGAAATTGAGATTAAATATTAAGGAATGGAACAAGGATCATTTCAGAAGATTAGAGGAAAAAAGCTGAGTCTTATGACTAAAATTGAGGAATTGGATGAGGAGAGTCGGTCTAATCTCAATAAGGAAGAGAGAGAGAGGGAGGGAGAGAGAGAGAGAGGAGTAAAATGGAACTTGAAGAAGGATGTGTAAGAAGTGCTTTATGGGGAAGAGATCAGTTGGAGGCAGAAGGCAAGAAACAAATGGATCAAGGAGGGGGCTAAGAATACTAAGTTTCTCTTTCTCCATGCATTGACAAATGAAAGACTAGTATGGCCAAATTGGAGGTGGATGGGATAAAAATTGAAGGACTAGTATGGCCAAATTGGATAATGATACAGCCAGATAGTTGGAAAGAAACTTTGAAGAAGAGGAAATAAGGAAAGCAATTTTCTCGATGGATAGATCTAAGGCCCCTAGTCTAGACAGTTTCACCATGGCTTTCTATCATGATTGTTGGGATGTGGTGAAGGATGAGTTGTTTGAGGTGTTCTTTGATTTTGCAGATAGCCACATTGAAAGTCCGAGGATCAACGCCACATTCCTAGCTTTGATACCTAAATAGCTTGATGCAAGTCACCCAAAGGATTCCAGGTCCATCAGTCTAGTGACTAGCATCTATAAAACTGTTAACAAGGTCCTGGCCCTGAGAATTAAGGTTGTTTTTCTGTCAATCATTAATCAATACTAACGGTGACCGGTGCAATGCACGAGCTATTTTTTTAAAATGTATTTTTAAGGGGAAAAATGAAGTAACAGTGGCTCACCAAAGGTTTTATATATTCCTAGTTCTTTACATATAAAATAGTAGAAAAATAATTTTCTTTCCCATTTTAGTTATTGA